CTATAATTCAGGCATATTCGACATGATAGTAAAATAGGTAAGCACGGCAACAGTTTTTGATGGAAAGGAATAGAAAAACAAAAATGTATATGTAAAATGTTTTTTGTAAAATCAATTCTTTTTGAATTTTTTGCGGAAACTTTTTTGAGTTTTGAAGTTTTGGATTCCTAAAATGGCACTAAAATTCTTCAAAACCATTTTACTCGATTAAAATGAAAATTAATTGAAAATAAGCTATTGTAAACGGGTAAAAATAACCATAAATGAGCCTGCTCGCAGGCTTTCGTGGCTTGAATTCGACAAAAAATCAAAAATTTCAAACGGGTTTGTCTCGACACTAGAGAAACAATTTGGAATTTTCAATATGTTTTGAGTCCCGACTGAAAGGGCTTAAATATGATATATCACTCAACCCAGTCCGATGATTTTTTGTGGTACCTGACTTTGCTTGCAGAACAAAAAAAACAAAAGCTCACATTCGAATACAAAGTTCTTCCCCATTCTCAATAATCACATGCAATGGACATTTCTTTCGATAAAAATTTAAATTCATTTTGAATTAATCAAGAATGAACGACTAAGTAATAAATTTGTTTTGATCATTTATAAATGATTGTTTTTAAATTTAGAGGCAGACTATACGAAACCAATATAATAAGGTATTATTCATTAAACTCATTACGAGGCCAAACTGTGTACTCTGTGCAATGTAAAATGATTCAACAACAGGCCAAAATCAAATTTGTCGCGGAATCAGCAACACTGCTACTCTTTTTTGATCTTTTTTGCTCTTTTGGATTCCACAAACAAATACTTAAAACATTGTACCGCTCAAAATTGCTCCAAAAGTAGGCAAATTTGCGGAATCCGCAACTGTATTTGCGGAATCCAGAACAATTTGTGGAATCCACAAACAAATAATAAGACAATTGTATACTTACATTGAGCTGTTGCGGAATCCGCAACTGTAAGCAGAATCCGCTAAATGTAAGTGGAATCCGCAAATTGTAAGTGGAATCCGCAAAATGCAAGCGGAATCCTCATTTTGCTTGCGGATTCCATTTAATTTTGCGAATTTCACTCACATTTTGCGGATTCCACTTACAATCTGCGGAATTCACTTATAGTTGCGGAATCCAGAACAACTACCTATATTTGCTTGTTGCGGAATCCGCAACAAAACAACTGTGCCGACAAAATTTACGTTACAGGTATTTGTACGCGGAATCCACCGAATTTTTTTAAGTGGAATCCACTTACAGTTTAGAACATGTTTAAAGATTTGTCTCTGGAATTCAGGAACTTAAAGACACGAAAATGTGCGCCTATCCATAGCACGGTTTGGCCTCGTAATGGTCCAGTGCGGGAATTTTGCATGATCTTTTTTTAAAGCAAAAGCAGGTAAGAAATACTATTTTTTGTCCACAAGTGGAAAATTAGATGATTTTAACGGAATTTTTTTTTTCAAATTACGCACACTATGGATCAATAAAGATGCAATGTGGTTGTGATAAATCAATCTTTTAAGTGACAATGTTCATCCTCTTTTTCGTCAAAACAGTTTGCAATCGAAGCTTATTTAAATCGTCTGAGTTTATCAGGAGAATGAAGACACCTAGCACAAAAATTAAGTAATTTCTGAGGAAGTAGCAGACTTGAAAATAGAAAATCTGCTATAATACCACCCGAAAACACACTTGACTAAATCACACTTAGTATCGAACTTATTGTTATATGAAGCAGTTGTAGCATCAATTTCATGTCCAAAGTATCGAAAAGTGACAGACGTTCATGTTATCTATATCTATCTCGCGCCAAAAAAAACGTCCCAAACAGTTTTTCAATGACTATTTTATAATATCAAAGCTAAGTTTAAGTAGTTTAAATTAAATTAATGAAAAATAATTGGCAACAATTAATACAAATATGTTACATTCCCCTTTTAAACCAAATTGTTTATCAGCAAAAATGTATAGCTAAGGAAATATGGCATTCGCAGTACAGCTAACATTTGAAGTCAAATATTTAATATGAAAGGCGAGAAAATCATGTGAAAAGTTTATATGATTTGCCTATTTCTTACGGATAATCCTCAACTCTAATCAAAGCATGTTTGTTTTTTTTCTTAAGTTTTTGAGTTATGACGTTTGATTGCCGCATTCAGTTTTTTGGCACTCGGAGTTTTTTTTTGGTGTGAGGAGGTTCCTCGGTTTCCTGTCGAAATTTGATTTCAACCCAGACTGCAGAAAGTTTAAATTTTATTTTTTAAAACTTTAAAAACCTGAAGCCTACAATTTGGAAAGCCAGGATCAGACATCTAGTAAGTAGTTTTCTGAAAATCCAAAAAATCAGCGGTTTAACAAAACTTTAACAAAATTCTCAGAACTTACAAAAGATTATACACATTTTAAAGAAGCAAATTGTAGGTTCGCGAAATTGTTTCTATGCTCAAACAGTTATTTTTCCAAAGATTTTTGTCAAGTTTTGTATTTTTGAGTTTAACGTAATCAAGACTCAGTTTTCATGCTCTGCATTTTGTGGACAGCTAAAAATTTTGTTTTTGAGTTTTCAAATGTCAACATAACTTTAGATCAGCCAGAAAATAGCCCATGTTTTTCAAAAACAGAGTTTTTAAAGGTAGAAGCAATCTAGCCGCAAGCAAACAGCAGTTACGCTTTTTAATTATTAATCTTTCAAAAATCCAGTTTAATAATTAGTTTAATTTGAGCAAATCTCCAAACGCAATTTGTTCTAACCAATTAACCTACCTGGTTTTTTAAATGAGACAATCTTTATGTACTGCCTTCTTGGATAGGTTTGCATTCATTTGCAAACTTGAAATTCTACCAAAAACCTGGCAGTTCAGAAATTTTCATGAAAATCATCTCTGGAATCTTGGACCCTTCCAGAGATGTCTTCAGAGATCGATTTCTCTGGACATGTAACTTGATAATCCAATTATTTGTTTTTGTTCGCAAACGATAACATTTTTTCTTCTATTTAACTTAAGTTTTCTTGCAAGTTTATGGTTGAATGATTGAATATATTTTTGAGCAATTCAGTCTGTAGAACCGTAAGTAGCGTTTAACACAGGCTCATTTAGCTATGGATTTAATCACTGAAATCAGGAGTTGAAAACTATTCCAAAATTTTTTCAATGAATTAAATTATTAAACAGAGATACCCGCATACTGAGCAAGTAGCACAGAATCTTTCGACCATAATCTTTAAAAAGAAAACAAAATATGTTTTTTTTTAATATTGAGTGGCTTTTTTTGCGTGACGCGATAAAAAAGTCTGTATTCAACTTTAATACTTTTGGTCGGATAAAGGAAATCAGCATATAGAGTTTTCATTTTGTGAAGATGTTTACCGTAGAGGTCTTACATCATTTTCTGTACGCATGGAATTGTGTGACCAGAAGTTTTTAAATGATATAAGATGATTGACTTGAAGTCTCCATCAATTTTAAATTCACGAAAAATTAAGGGAAATGTATCTCAAACAACTTTCATGTAGGGAAAAATAGGTATTATAAAAGTTTTAAGAAACTGCTGAACGAATAAATTATAATGACTACAAGTTTTTATAGTGAAACTTGTATAATTAGAAATTTCAATCTACCCGGGTACTCAGAACTGTTTTCTGTGATTGCCTAAGCTCGTAAAATTTTGCCGTAATACCAAAACTTGGCTTCATCCTTAAGTTTTTGACCTTTTTTTAAATCTTATTTGGTGATTGGCTATATTTGACAACTTTTTGTGAATTTTTTTATTGAAGTTGATAGTTTATTGAATTTAATTGTCCCCAAAGAGATTTTTTTTGCATAAATGAATTACTTTTTTAAAAATTCTGTGTCAGTCTCTTGCCTGGAAAAACATATTCTTCTTTAAATGCTGCAGGCATTTTCTTGTAAACATTGTAAGGATAGATATTAAGTGAAATTTTTCAGTTATGGCTTCATGGAATCAATTAATTTTATTTTTTTTTCGTCATTAAGCGTTTTAATTCTGCTTAAAGAATTTGAAAACTTAATTGTGACTTTTAAAGAGTCAGATTGTTGCTCAAGGAATAGCTCTAAATTTTCAAGTCGGAATGTGAACTGGTCGATGCGAGTTGCAATTTTCTTCGGCTGTACCTTCCCATTGGCTGGCGACATCTTGCACCATCCATGATACTCTCATACTAACTTCGACCAAAGGATTGAGTAAATTAGATGTATTAAGGTGGTCAGCAGATGGTGGAAGCACTTCGTTTGCTTTAGTAGTTTTTCTATTACGTTACACTTTAACAAAATACGGTAAAATTTTTGACCTTATTTTGTTGTCTTGAGCCATCGCTTTAGTTTTGTCGAAACCTGCTCAAGTTAGGCTAATTCTATAAACTCATGGTTTAGTATGGGTCGCAAAATTGCACCTGCTCGACTTCCAAATTCGAAGCATAGTCGAGCAGCTCTTCCGGGAAAGGCCAACTCCTGTCACATTCAAAACTGTAAGAAGCCCTAGGAGATCTAACTAATTTACCTAAACACCGCTGTTTAACCACGTGAACCTCTCAAAGAAAAGAAAACCAAATATTGAATTAATTGCAAAATATCGCTTTTTCAAATGTTGATGCAGAGGAGGAATCTAACCATGTCTTTTAAAATGGTTTTGCTGTTCATAAAGTTCTTTTATAAGAAAACTTTGGCGTCAACTAACTTTATGTTTCTTATTTGACAGCGGAATGAATTTATACTAACATGGAGCATGTCGATAATACTAATTGGCTCATACTAATAAACATACCAAACAACTACGGCGAAACGTAAGGAACAATCTGAAAACACGCAGCATGAAATAATGTTAGATTGGGCTATAATTTTCTGAAAATTAAGAGATACATTTAAATGACGTCTTCTGATTTATAGTTTAAATCAGGGAAATTCGAATTTTCCATTTGTTTTCTACTCTAAGCCATGGTAGAGAAAGAATGATAGAATAAGCGGACTCCATTGGTCGAATATTTCCGTATCTGAATTATTCAGGCAGAGACAAATGTTTCAAAAAGACTGCACGGAAGTAAAATGTATATTCGTACCAACTTGTTTGCACCTTTAATTGGTACGCTCAGAATTAATATCGTCTTTCTGCGCCAACCAGCCCCTGGTCTGATTACTTACTCTTTCACTCAGCTAAATGACTTCCCTAAATTCTGTCAATCAGTTCTGGAAAAAACTGAAATTTCGATTTCCTGACAAAACCATTTAATCCAGCACCTTTTTTGATGCCAGATTCGCCAGTTTGTGATTGCCAGTTTTGAAATACCATTTTATGAATTTCCGAATATTTTATCTATAAGTTCAACGCAAGAATATTGTTAAAAAAGGTTCACCAAATATCCGTGTAAATTGTTCAATTTATATCTTCTAGAGTTGATCTCGCCCATCGCATCTTAATGGTTCGCCCTTTACTTGTTAACTCTTCCATGGTTGTTCACGTGCATTTTGGATTTGTGTGTTTGCGACTGAATTGAGTTTTGATGAATTACAAAGTGTTCAATGTCAGCAGACAATTGTCAATTTTGCATGAAACTTTAACCCGCTTCAGCCAGAGGATGAAGTCCAAGTGTGTTGTTCTCGTTAAGTCCCTTATCCACCCCTCCGTGAACAAGTTTTCCATGCGAATATTCGGTAGTGAGAAGGCAGTCGTTAAAGAGAGGGAGAGATGTGAACAGTGCTCTTTTCTCATCATCCATCCCTTCAGCATGTTCCGGTTAGTTTTCTAAACACTACATGACACGAAACACTTAACATAAAAAATTCATGAAAACGTCAACTTAATTGATTGATTGCGCAAATCCACACAAAGCGTCGAACAAGTCCGCAAAGTTGACAGTGCCGAATCCGCATAAAGTTGACAATGCTTTGAACTAACAAGGACGGTTGGTGACCAGGAACAGAACTCTCTGGTCAAAAATGGTTCGAGTGAGGAATTTCAAAATCTTTTTTTCCTAAATAAAAATTTCATGTTTTTCTAACTTTTAGTGATTTTTAGTGAAGAGCAAACGAATAAGGTAAAAAGCTGCAAAAACTGATAATTTATTACAGCTAAAAATTTGCGAGACAAGCAGTTTTTAAAAACCGAGAAAAAGTTTTTTCTCTGAAATCTGAATCACAATGAAAAGAGCTTTAGTATTATACATATTTGTACTTCCTCAAGCTTTCTTTGCGGTGACGAAACTGATAGCAAAAAATGCAAACTTCATCGAGTACGAAAAAATTCTGTGACAAAATATTTAAAACGATGACATATAAAATTAGTTATTTATTATATGTTATATTGGAAATCGACGAGCAAATTTGTTTTTTAAGTATCATCTAATTAACGCATGGAGTTGGAATTTTTTTATTCAGTCCAATTTTGCTGATCACAATGATGTTTGATTTCAATTTTTTCCTCCACATTAAATGAATAGACATCTGAAACATATATTTTTGAAAGTTTATTTCAATTGCAATCAATTATTGAAAATATATTTTAAGTCTGCACCCAAGTTCCATGGATTCAATTGTATATACTGACATTTTACTGTCATTTTACAGTCGTTTTCGAGAAAATTCTAAGTAATTGATTATAATTAATTTGAAATGGGCTATCAAGCTTTCATTTTTAAAGCAAAAAAAAATCATTTTTAATGAATTATTATCGGGTCAATGTTTTCTAACACTTTTTAAAAATTTTCTTCAAATTCAATGACAATTATTTTTGCAAAATACGCGATGAACTGTTTGAAGTTAGGTTTGAATTAGTTTGGGCAAAAAAATGCTACCTTATTTTAATCATTTTCTTTTTTTTATCCATTGTTGAGTTTCGTTTTTTTTGCTGCCATTTATTTCCCTTTGTCGACTTACCTTAACTTCACCCTTTTCCCTTGCATGTGTTCCCTCAGGTATTTGAAGTGAAAAACGCAAGTTTTTCAGGTCAAAATTTTTAATCAATTTTTCCTTTTGTTTTACATAATTTTTTCGGCAAATATCCCCGTAATTGAAGTAAACGGAGATGTGCGAGGGATAAGTATGGGAAGAGAAGAGATCAAACATGGTCCCTAAAAATGAACAGACGGATGTTAAAAGTTTAATGGATATCGTTTGCAAAAAGTACACAAAAATGAAAAGATTCATAAATCAAATTAGCCGTGAGCAATGCAGAATAATATTATTTTTAATATTAATAAGAAATAATAATCGTAATCATATTCATAATAAGAATTGTAAAATACATAAAAAAAAACAAAATCCTAATCATAATAATTATAATAATTTTAATAATAATCATAACAATCATAAACATAATAAATTGTTTGCAATAAAGATTCCATTCACTGTAAAACTCAGTTAAAACCAACTTAAGTCTCATTGCATTAATGTTGTAGAGTTTTGCTGCCCCCACAAAAAAAATTTAAATTTTTGCAAGTATTCTGCAAGTTTTTTTACCATTTAAAATCCATGGGTTTGAAAAATGTTTTTTTTTGTTCGGCCAATTTTTGGGCCAACTTATGTGCGCTGTATCCCATTGTCTTAAACCCAGTTCAGCAAGTTAAAAAAAGCTTCAATTTGAAAAAAGGTCAGGTTACCCGGTCAAACTTTGAAACTTTGAATAACTTGAGGTCGCTAAAACATTATCAGGTTTTAGACATTTAAGCGGGAATATTTTTCCAGCAAAACAAGTGCGGGGAAAAATAGACTCTCTCTGCAAATTTTGCATACAAAAGCCATTAAACAATATTCTTAAAAAAAACTGAAACCACAGAAGCCGGATACTGAATAAACCTGTCCATGGAAAATTATAGCCCGGAGAAATCAAATTTTTACTGCCTCGAAAAAAAATTGCCCCAAAAGTATAAGTATAAAAATTGCAAAAAAGGATAAACTGTCTAGCATATCTAGCATAGAATGTTTCGACTATTGATTAGGTGTATAAAATAAAAAGTAAAGCAAACTTTTTTCCATAATTTAAAAAACATGATCTGTTACATTTCTTTAAATTATATATTATTTTTTCTTGTACTAAAATATATCTTTTGTAATATAAATAGGTCATTCCGAACATTCTTTCAATCCAAAAATTTTCCAGAAAATATTTCAATCCAGAAACTTCTTTTAATCAGAAATTTTGTATCCTTCTCATTTGAACAACGGGGAGTAAACTTGGAACTTTCACGCACACGAGTTTTTTTGATCAAAATCAATAACTTATGATTTTCATTGTCAGAGTCCTTAAAACTGAAAAAAACCTTCAATTTATATGAAATAAATTTTATTGCTTTTAGAAGTAAAATAACACAATATAATCCACTTAAATTGAATATTTTTCACTTTTGTAGATACTGACAATTAAACTCAGTTATAAACTATTTCTATTTTAGGAACCTGTGCGGGAACGTTACAGTTTTTTTTCTCGTTGTTTAAATGAAGAGTATACAGAGTTTCTTGAATTTATACAAGAGAAGATTTGTTTATTTTACTTGAAGATCTGTAACAGTTATACTTAGCGTTTGTTTTTGTTGCATTTGAATTTCTTGTGTTGAATTTGACCTTCTATTTTTTCTTTTCAATACTTTGATGAATTTGGACTTCTTTTCGTCGAATCTGAATTACAAAAGGTATATTGATACAGTTTCTTTTCCTCTCCCACCCACCTCACACGAGCATCATTTTTTTGGTGTAACGAAAGGTTTTACGAGGTTGATTATGAAGATCAAATATTTTTATCTTGGCCTAAACATGTCAATTTCTAAACAATCTTACAAAGTGATCCACAAATTTACTGAGACAACAAGACCCAGTGAAAAATTTTTGATTTTTTGAAATCCAAATTTCAGTCGAAAGGTTTTTACCATGTACCATTTTTTCTACTCCCTAGCTACGAGCTTTCTTTGAGGTAGTCAAAATCCGTCGGACAAAAAGACACCCTGCGTTATAGTTCCGTTCCTTTTCGTGAAGTGGTCGCAACAAAAACAATCAATTATTGTCTGAAAACAATCAGTTTATTATAGCTTAGGAGACAAAAGGTACATATCAGATTAAGCCTGCCCTGAGTTAAATCAATAGCACTCGAGTTTTATCGACTTTAACTAAAATTGAGGCGCATTGAAACTTTTAAAGCTTTGCATCACATCAGAAAATAGCGTAGCATTGTCGATCATTTATGATATATAGACCATGCAAACAACCTGTTGGCTAATCATGCAACCAATCTATTGGTTGTTATTTGAAAATTGCTACTATTCTATAAAATATGATACTATTAGAGTTTTTTGGAAAAAATTTAGTGTTTTTTATGAAACGCCGTTAATTGCATGTTTTTAGTCAAAGATAAATCTCGTGCAAAAAGTTGAAATGTTGGACATTTTAAATCCATTCTATTTTCCGAGATTTTTTAAAAAGGACGCCAAAAATCTGATTTCATTTGGCCCGGAAATTCCTGGTTCATGGAGTTTTTGCAATAAACATGTATATGTAAATATTTGCCTGCCACGAATGATAGTTATTTTTGATTATTTAGAATCAGCTGATGTTTTCAATATATTCATCTGCCGTACCTGGCAGATTTTTGGCGTCATCCAATGTTTGGTTCCTAAACCATGTTTGTTCTGTAATCCTTGTAACAAAAAATCGCGCAGAGTAATAAAGCGCACAGAGTATTAAGGCAGTCTTTTTCTAGTAGCATTGAGCAAAAACAATTACAGGTATCAATAGAAAGCTCTCATTTTACCGTTTGCTCATCAAGCATAGACAATTTTTATAATTTTGGACTATTGCTTAGAAGTTTTAAAACCCCATAAACTTACAATAAAAAAATTGAAAGAAGTAATAAACTGCCGGGAACAAAACACACCAAGCAGCAGAAAGATTATGTAACTATCTTAGAAATTCGAAATAAATAAATTATGAACGCGCAAGTTGCCAGAACTCCGAATTGAATGATTTCAGTCAGGGGTGCATCTAGGATATTCTCGAGGTGTGTGGGGGCAGATTTTCTAAACCTCTTTTAATTCGACTAAAATTATTTTCCGAGCTATCTCAAACCACTAAAATGACCCTGCTTTAGCTATATTGTTGGCACTACAGGCAAGTTTTTGAAAAAAAAAAACAGGACAAAGAGCGTTTTCAGTCACTTTTTGGACATTTTTGAACAAAAAATCATTTTTTTTGGCGCGCGCTCCCCCTCTCAAAGTTAGTATATATTGGCGCCAACGGCGCATTTAGAAAAATTTTGGTGACAGCAAATCAAAAATGAAAGTTTGAAAAAGTAACAAAAGGGTGGCCCTTTGGGTAGTCAGGGGGTCGAACCCCTGAAAAAGGGGCTTCTGCCCCCGCGCATAAATCCGCTATTAATTGGATTTGTTAAAATGTTTCATTCTCAAGTTAATGGTTCAATATGTGGTCCAGAAACATCAAATGGATCATCAAATTTGCTCTGGAAAAAACATACCGACACACACAAGGGAACAAAAAGCAGACGGAATAAAGCTTTCAAGACCTTAATATTCATACATACGTATAAATATATATAAATATACGTATACATATATGTATAACGGTTTTTTCAAAACACGTTCTTTATAAATCTTCTCTCATTTCACAATTTTTTGGGTTATGCAAGTGATACTTTTTGCAAAAGGCAGCAAAAAATTACCAATTTTTGATGTTATTTTCACTAAAGTGTAATAGTTTTTGCTTACCATATTTTCGTTGTGTATTGAAATTTCTCTGCAATTTGAGCTTCAAAAATTTCTTTAGCCCTGATATAAAATAACCGATTATATAAATCTAAAAGTTGTACACATTCGTTTGTCTCATATTCGGTTAATTTTGGACTAAAAATGGCGGAGACAAAAAACGTTCTGTTAGACATTTACAAGAATTTCATTAGTGCAATTGGTTTTGCGAAACTTTAAACCAAAATTACACCCTTAAAACGGGTCAATTAGTTTGGTTCAAAATCTAGGGGCAAACAAGCTCAACTGGTGTAAAAAAGAAGTTTTAATTGAGCCTGTTTAACTCTAAATTTTAAATCAAGCTATTTATACCTTTTCAAGTGTGTGATTTTGGTTGAAATTTTGCAAAATTTGTTGCCCCATAGAAATCTTGGTAAAAGCTTAAAAAGTGTTTGTCCTCGCCTTTTTTATTTGAACATTTTGTCTTAAGTTCATGCATTCGGCTATTATATATCAGTGCTATAGACGCTTATTCAGCTCAAAATGCAATGAAAATTCAGTGAACAGCAAAAAAGATGTGTGAAAAAAAATGATTCAACTTCATGAAATATATAACATGAGAATTCGGCAAATTTTGCTGCCTAGTGCAAAAAGAATCACTCAATTGAACAGGGGCGGATCTAGGATTTTCTCGAGGGGGGGCAGATTTTCAAAGAAATTGAAAATTTTGACGACCTTTTTTTTTAGGCCGACCAAATTGATTTTTTGAGCTTTCCCAAAGCACTGTTTTGCCCCTATTTTGGCAAAATTTTCTGCGCCGCAGGCAAAATTTTGAAAAAATCGGTCAAAAAAGGCGTTTTTAGGCACTTTTTGGAAAATTTTGACCAAAAAATTGCGTTTTTTAGGCGCGCGCTCCCCCCTCAAAATAAGTTAATATTGGTGCCAAAGGCACCTTTAGAAAAATTTTAGGATCGGTCGGCCAAAAATGGATTTCTTAAAAAGTACCAAAGGGGGATCACCAAAACACCTTGTATAATAAAAGCGATAGGATATAACAGTATGGAGCAACAATTTCTAAGCAAATTTCATTTTAATATAGTTGTTCTTATAAACGTGTTCAAACTATATGTGCTACTTGCACAGAAATCGGCTATCCTGTTATAGTTTACTTTTTATTGCGTGAAAAAAAAAAGTTTGTAACATAATGTTTGAAAACGTGTGAAGCTAGGTCATCAATAACCAAATTGACCTAATTTTTTTATTTTACAATATTTTCATTCAGGGGCGGATCTAGGATTTTCTCGAGGGGGGGGCGGATTTTCAAAAAATTTTCGAAAATTTTGACGACCTTTTTTTTTTTTTTTAGGTCGATCAGATTGATTTTCCGAGCTCTCCCAAAGCAATAAAAAGACCCTGTTTTGGCCAAATTTTCTGCGCCGCAGGCAATTTTTTTGAAAAACCAGGTCAAAAAAGCCGTTTTTGGGCACTTTTTGGAAAATTTTGACAAAAAAATCGCGTTTTTTTTGGCGCGCGCTCCCCTCAAAATAAGTATATAAGTATCATTTGAGTTTTTTGTAACTGGCAATCACAAGAACTTGAAAAAAAACTTGGAAAAGCAATCTAAGCTTCAAAATCTTGATCATCGAGACTCTTATTCTGAATGTTTTAGCATCACGTGGGACTTCCTGATGCTTTGTGTGCTGGTGGTGAACCTGGTGCTGCTGCCTATTGCCATTACATTTGTAGACACAGGGGACAATGGTCGATCATATTCACCCCCTCCGTCTTCGTCTTCCACTGGGCTAGAGGGAGGGGAAAACAGGGCTGGATTTGAGGGCGGAGGAGGTGGAGAGGGAGAGGGTGTGGGTGTGCAGTGGGCTGTGTTGTCCAGTCTGACAGACTCTGTGTTCATAGCCGACCTACTGCTCAACTTCAGAACTGCCTACTTCCCTTCCAAGTCCTCAAAGAGTGCATTCTGCATTCTCGACTCAAAACTGATCGCCAAGTGTGTACTTTCCACTTCATTTCTATACCACTTAAACAACTGCAAATCATCAACTTGCTTCACATAAGTCTAAACGAAACACTAAAAGTCTGTTCAGACCAGGGATAGGGTTTTGGACGAAAATTTTGACGACTTTTTTTTAGTTCGACCAAATTGATTTTCTGAGCTCTCCTAAAGCACACTAAAAAGACGCTGTTTTGGCCAAATTTTCTGCGCCACGGGCAAACTTTCGAAAAAAAGCCATTTTTGGTTTTTTTTTTGAAAAATTTTGACAAAAAAATGCGTTTTTTTTTGGCGCGGGCTCCACCTCAAAGTTAGTATATATTGGCGCCAAAGGCGCCCTTAAAAACTTTTTAGGGTCGGTCGGCCAAAAATGGATTTCTTAAAAGTACTAAAAGGAAAACCGCCTTTTTTATCTTTTTAATCAAGAAAGGGTAATAGAAACATTTATTTTCGGGATTCAAACTTTTTATCTGGTTTTTGTCAGAAGCTGTGAGGAACTCTATTAAATACCTGTTTTGAATTGCATTTTTGTCAGAGTGGTCTTCTACTGCTTTTTAAACAAGTTAACGAAAACTTTCCAAATGGCAAAAAAAAAAATTTTCCCAACAGTTTATTGGTTCACTTTTTCATTCCCACTCAATTTTTTCTATTAGAAACATAGACATTTGAACAAAGGTTCGGATTAAATATTTCCATACAAAAAACTGAATGGCAATTTTGCTGGATAACGTTATCACAATACTATTCAGTAACTGCAAACTTTTGCTTTCAATAGCTTTTTTGAAGATAAATGTCAATCAAAAATTTTGATGTCATTTTTAATGGACCAAAAAAAACAAAAAAGCAAGCAATTTTTGTTTTCAGCGGTTTCGGTCAGCATTTGAGAAAAGCGGGTTTCAATTTTTAGAGTTTGTTTTAGTTTTTTTCCGGATTTTTCAAGCTAGACTGCTCACATCAGGGCAAAATCATGAATATTCCGATTGCCTTTTAAGGCCCATGGAGCAGTGTTCGCATAAGTAAATGATGAATTTTTCAAAAAAAAAAGAAAAACTTTTGAATGAAAAAAAAAGAATGAAATTTTTTATCCCCCACGCAATATTAACTGCAGTGACATATTTTGCTCATATTAACATAACAATTATGAAAAATAGCCTGCATCAATTAATTCGCAACGAGTTCTAAGACGGATTAAAACGCGGCTTACGCGTTTATAGCGCGAAACACACCACGCGTTAATTGACCCAAATTGGCAATATTTAAACCCCAGCAACTTTACAAAAAAAGGTCTCAGGTATATTATCTATTTAAATTAGAGCTAAAAACATCAAATTTTTTCGGATGATGGAAAAAAAGTCAAAGACAGTTAAAAGTCAAAAGAAGTCTGGAGAAAAAAATTCACCCCGAGCACAAATATACTGTAAATTTTTTCAAAAGTCAAAAAAATGCGAAAAACTATTATTAAATGATTTTTCTGAAGACTGTATAAGACTAAAACAAGGCTGCTCGTTGCTCGTATATCAGGGCAAAGCCTTGAATATTCCGACTGCCTTTTCAGGTGGACGAAAATTTTGACGCCTTTTTTTAGTTCGACCAAATTGATTTTCTGAGCTCTCCTAAAGCACACTAAAAAGACACTGTTTTGGCCAAATTTTCTGCGCCACGGGCAAATTTTTGAAAAAAGCCATTTTTGGGTTTTTTTTTGAAAAATTTTGACAAAAAAATGCGTTTTTTTTTGGCGCGCGCTCCACCTCAAAGTTAGTATATATTGGCGCCAAAGGCGCCCTTAAAAACATTATAGGGTCGGTCGGCCAAAACTGGATTTCTTAAAAGTACTAAAAGGAAAACCGCCTTTTTTATCTTTTTAATCAAGAAAGGGTAATAGAAACATTTATTTTCGGGATTCAAACTTTTTATCTGGTTTTTGTCAGAAGCTGTGAGGAACTCTATTAAATACCTGTTTTGAATTGCATTTTTGTCAGAGTGGTCTTCTACTGCTTTTTAAACAAGTTAACGAAAACTTTCCAAATGGCAAAAAAAAAAATTTTCCCAACAGTTTATTGGTTCACTTTTTCATTCCCACTCAATTTTTTCTATTAGAAACATAGACATTTGAACAAAGGTTCGGATTAAATATTTCCATACAAAAAACTGAATGGCAATTTTGCTGGATAACGTTATCACAATACTATTCAGTAACTGCAAACTTTTGCTTTCAATAGCTTTTTTGAAGATAAATGTCAATCAAAAATTTTGATGTCATTTTTAATGGACCAAAAAAAACAAAAAAGCAAGCAATTTTTGTTTTCAGCGGTTTCGGTCAGCATTTGAGAAAAGCGGGTTTCAATTTTTAGAGTTTGTTTTAGTTTTTTTCCGGATTTTTCAAGCTAGACTGCTCACATCAGGGCAAAATCATGAATATTCCGATTGCCTTTTAAGGCCCATGGAGCAGTGTTCGCATAAGTAAATGATGAATTTTTCAAAAAAAAAAGAAAAACTTTTGAATGAAAAAAAAGAATGAAATTTTTTATCCCCCACGCAATATTAACTGCAGTGACATATTTTGCTCATATTAACATAACAATTATGAAAAATAGCCTGCATCAATTAATTCGCAACGAGTTCTAAGACGGATTAAAACGCGGCTTACGCGTTTATAGCGCGAAACACACCACGCGTTAATTGACCCAAATTGGCAATATTTAAACCCCAGCAACTTTACAAAAAAAGGTCTCAGGTATATTATCTATTTAAATTAGAGCTAAAAACATCAAATTTTTTCGGATGATGGAAAAAAAGTCAAAGACAGTTAAAAGTCAAAAGAAGTCTGGAGAAAAAAATTCACCCCGAGCACAAATATACTGTAAATTTTTTCAAAAGTCAAAAAAATGCGAAAAACTATTATTAAATGATTTTTCTGAAGACTGTATAAGACTAAAACAAGGCTGCTCGTTGCTCGTATATCAGGGCAAAGCCTTGAATATTCCGACTGCCTTTTCAGGTGGACGAAAATTTTGACGCCTTTTTTTAGTTCGACCAAATTGATTTTCTGAGCTCTCCTAAAGCACACTAAAAAGACACTGTTTTGGCCAAATTTTCTGCGCCACGGGCAAATTTTTGAAAAAAGCCATTTTTGGGTTTTTTTTTGAAAAATTTTGACAAAAAAATGCGTTTTTTTTTGGCGCGCGCTCCACCTCAAAGTTAGTATATATTGGCGCCAAAGGCGCCCTTAAAAACATTATAGGGTCGGTCGGCCAAAACTGGATTTCTTAAAAGTACTAAAAGGAAGACCGCCTGTTTTATCTTTTTAATCAAGAAAGGGTAATAGAAACATTTATTTTCAAGATTCAAACTTTTTATCTGGTTTTTGTCAGAAGCTGTGAAGAACTCTATTAAATACTTGTTTTGAATTGCTATTTTGTCAGAGTGGTCTTCTACTGCTTTTTAAACAAGTTAACGAAAACTTTCCAAATGGCAAAAAAGTGAAATTTTCCCAACAGTTTATTGGTTCACTTTTTCATTCCCACTAAATTTTTTCTATTAGAAACATAGACATTTGAACAAAGGTTCGGATTAAATATTTCCATACAAAAAATTGAATGGCAATTTTGCTGGATAAGGTTATCACAATACTATCCAGTAACTGCAAGCTTTTGCTTTCAATAGCTTTTTTGAAGATAAATGTCAATCAAAAATTTTGATGTCATTTTTGATGGACTAAAAAAACCAAAAAGCCAGCAATTTTTGTTTTCAGCGGTTTCGGTCAGCATTTCAGAAAAGCGGGTTTCAATTGTTAGAGTTTGTTTTAATTTTTTCCGGATTTTTCAAGCTAGACTGCTCACATCAGGGTAAAATCATGAATATTCCGATTGCCTTTTAAGGCCCATGGAGCAGTGTTCGCATAAGTAAATGATGAATTTTTCAAAAAAAAAGAAACACTTTGAATGAAAAAAAAATGAGTTTTTTTATCCCCCACACGCAATAATAACTGCAGTGACATATTTTGCCCATATTAACATAACAATTATGAAAAATAGCCTGCATCAATTAATTCGCAACGAGTTCTAAGACGGATTAAAACGCGGCTTACGCGTTAATAGCTCGAAACGTACCACGCGTTAATTGACACAAATTGGCATTATTTAAACCCCCGCAACTTTACAAAAAAGGTCTCAGGTATATTATCTAATTTAAATTAGAGCTAAAAACATCAAATTTTTTCGGATGATGGAAAAAAAGTCAAAAAGAGTTAAAAGTCAAAAGAAGTCTGGAGAAAAAATTCACCCCGAGCACAAATATACAGTAAATTTTTTCAAAAGTCAAAAAAATGCGAAAAACTATTATTAAATGAATTTCCTGAAGACTCTATAAGACTAAAACAAGACTGCTCGTTGCTCGTATATCAGGGCAACGCCTTGAATATTCCGACTGCCTTTTCAGGTGTATGAAGCAGTAATAACATGAAAAAATTAAATGTATTAAAAGAAAACAAAGTTTTTTATTCAATTTGAGATTTTTCGTGAAAATCATCCCCCTACACGCCATACTAAGTGAAAAGTGATAGATTTTGCTCCTTGAAGCTTCCTTGAACCAATTTGGAGAGATTTGTACGACAGCTTAAATCTCCTCTTACGCGTTGATAGTTTGTCCCAAATGGACTAAAATGGCACTTTTTACCACTCCATAACTTAATTTTAAAAAAATTTAAAAAAATCAGAGTTGAAATACATTTTAAAATAGGAGCTCAAGACCAAAACTTTTTGGCTGATAGAAAAGCCATTTTTGGGTTTTCTTTTGAAAAATTTTGACAAAAAAATGCGTTTTTTTTGGCGCGCGCTCCACCTCAAAGTTAGTATATATTGGCGCCAAAGGCGCCCTTAAAAACATTATAGGGTCGGTCGGCCAAAACTGGATTTCTTAAAAGTACTAAAAGGAAGACCGCCTGTTTTATCTTTTTAATCAAGAAAGGGTAATAGAAACATTTATTTTCAAGATTCAAACTTTTTATCTGGTTTTTGTCAGAAGCTGTGAAGAACTCTATTAAATACTTGTTTTGAATTGCAATTTTGTCAGAGTGGTCTTCTACTGCTTTTTAAACAAGTTAACGAAAACTTTCCAAATGGCAAAAAAGTGAAATTTTCCCAACAGTTTATTGGTTCACTTTTTCATTCCCACTCAATTTTTTCTATTAGAAACATAGACATTTGAACAAAGGTTCGGATTAAATATTTCCATACAAAAAATTGAATGGCAATTTTGCTGGATAATGTTATCACAATACTATCCAGTAACTGCAAGCTTTTGCTTTCAATAGCTTTTTTGAAGATAAATGTCAATCAAAAATTTTGATGTCATTTTTGATGGACTAAAAAAACCAAAAAGCCAGCAATTTTTGTTTTCAGCGGTTTCGGTCAGCATTTCAGAAAAGCGGGTTTCAATTGTTAGAGTTTGTTTTAATTTTTTCCGGATTTTTCAAGCTAGACTGCTCACATCAGGGTAAAATCATGAATATTCCGATTGCCTTTTAAGGCCCATGGAGCAGTGTTCGCATAAGTAAATGATGAATTTTTCAAAAAAAAAGAAACACTTTGAATGAAAAAAAAAAGAATGAGTTTTTTTATCCCCCACACGCAATAATAACTGCAGTGACATATTTTGCTCATATTAACATAACAATTATGAAAAATAGCCTGCATCAATTAATTCGCAACGAGTTCTAAGACGGATTAAAACGCGGCTTACGCGTTAATAGCTCGAAACGTACCACGCGTTAATTGACACAAATTGGCATTATTTAAACCCCCGCAACTTTACAAAAAAAGGTCTCAGGTATATTATCTAATTTAAATTAGAGCTAAAAACATCAAATTTTTTCGGATGATGGAAAAAAAGTCAAAAAGAGTTAAAAGTCAAAAGAAGTCTGGAGAAAAAAATTCACCCCGAGCACAAATATACAGTAAATTTTTTCAAAAGTCAAAAAAATGCGAAAAACTATTATTAAATGAATTTCCTGAAGACTCTATAAGACTAAAACAAGACTGCTCGTTGCTCGTATATCAGGGCAACGCCTTGAATATTCCGACTGCCTTTTCAGGTGTATGAAGCAGTAATAACATGAAAAAGTTAAATGTATTAAAAGAAAACAAAGTTTTTTATTCAATTTGAGATTTTTCGTGAAAATCATCCCCCTACACGCCATACTAAGTGAAAAGTGATAGATTTTGCTCCTTGAAGCTTCCTTGAACCAATTTGGAGAGATTTGTACGACAGCTTAAATCTCCTCTTACGCGTTGATAGTTTGTCCCAAATGGACTAAAATGGCACTTTTTACCACTCCATAACTTAATTTTAAAAAAAATTAAAAAAATCAGAGTTGAAATACATTTTAAAATAGGAGCTCAAGACCAAAACTTTTTGGCTGATAGAAAACAAATCTGTCAAAAATAACAAGTTAAAGAATCGAAATTTGTCTGGATGAAAAACCACCTCGCATGCAAAAGCACATAAAAGAATTTGAAAAATGACATACTACAGTCACGGGACTTAGAAACTGCAATTTTTTGTTTGCAACGAGCAAATAAACAGATTTTTTCTTCACGTTTTTGTCGTTTTCTCTGAAACTAGCAAAGTATTTGGAAGTAGCTAATCTGATCAAATTTTGAGAAACCTTGTTTGAAGGTGTAAACTTGCCAGTGAGTCATAACTAGTTTCAAAGTGTTCTTGCTCTGGAAACATTCTCAAAAACAAATCAAATAACCTCTCAATTTATGGGCCCAATTTAATGGTTCTTTTTGAAGCTGATGAATTTGTCTGTGTGCCGCAGAAACACGATAGACAAAAAAAAATTGAAAGATATACTTGGCCCGACGTCGAAAAATGATTGTATTTGTTTTGACAAAACAGATATCAAAACGACGTTTTAAGTGCTTATACCAGAAAGTCATACAGAAATGTGAGACAGCGTAACTGCTTATGAGAACGCATATTTTCCAAGGTCATTTTTCTAAAAATTTGCTCGAAATTTTTTTTGTTGACTTAATTTGACCATCAACGCACAATTACTCGCAAAAAAATCTATTTTTTTTTTACACAGGATCAAATTTTTTTTTTCACTTTTTGTTTTTTTTTGGAGTGTGGAGACTAAGAACTGATCATTAGCTTAGCTTCCCATAGATACAATTTGAGCCCTTAAATTCGTAACCTTTGTGTTGTTTTTGACAATGTTTCTGGTTATGATTCATTCACTGGCTATTTTACGCTTTCAAAGCAAACGTTCTTCATATTTGACCCAGTTAACTCCATCTAAATAGTCTAAGCTAGCATATGTCAAAAGTTCACTCCTAATTCTGTAACAGTTGCAGAGAAAATGACAAAAACGTGGCAAATACCTCAGACCATAACAACCTTTTCTCAATTTTAGCGAGCGGTTGATCGGAGCGAAACACATGAAATTTTTTTTTTCAAATGAATGCTTTAAAGCGTTCAAACTTGAAACTCAAAAGAACCAGTCTGTTCATCTCAAATAGGTTTTGTGAAGGTTTCTGTTCATCTCGCTGAATATTAAACTAACAGTTTATCGAAAGACTACAGCATCAAGTTCAAATGTTATGGATACAGAAATTTTGCCTTTTTTCATGATTCAAGTATGGTAAAAGTGGTTATTATGTCAGCCCACTGACCCTTAATAGCCATTGATAAGGAAAAAATAAACAAAAAATTGAAAAAGGGAATTCTTGTAGTAGACAGTGCTTTAAACTATCGAGTAGGCTTATCTTAAATCTTCTACCACTCAAATTTGCTCCCTTTTTCTTAGTGTTTATCTGAGCCTGATAATCCTAACCAAGTGGAGCCGCCCACACGAAATATTATTCGATCCAGAGAAAATTGGAACTGGGGGAATAAAAACTGTTGAGACAACTCAGTTGAGATGAAAACAAAACGAAGTCAATTGAAATGGCCAATTGATTCCCTCTTCAATTGATATTGAAAATTAAGAAGGAATTAAAATAATCGATTTAGTTCTGGGTCTTGGCAGACAATTTAGGGTAAAGTTGCGAAAATGGAAAAAGCTAAATAGTCCTCTGGTTTATATTTTAAGGATTAGAGATTTTTTCTTTCAGATCAAATTCGGTTCATGATCAGATTTGCGTCACCCTAGTCAAAATAACTAAAACTTTTGCGAGCTAAAAATGTCACATATCTGAAATGTCTGAAAATGTCACATACGTAATTCGACTTTTTTGGACATGCTCATTTTTTTTGCTCTCTAAAAAATGCTCTCTAAAAAACTGTAGCGCGCGATGATCACGTGTCTTAAATATAAGTGGTGCGCTCTAAAACAGCGTTATGATGTGCCAACATTATGTTTTTCTGGTTTAGTGACAGCTCAAAGATCAAATTTCACAGAAGGAGAACCGTTTGCCTAACACGTTGAGTTATAGCAAATTGTCCCTAATTGAGATGGTTTCTTTGTACTTATAGGAACTATCTAAAGACGTGGTTTGTTATGGACTTCAGCAGTTCAGTTCCTTTCGACCACATCATCACGTGGGCCAACTGGGTGCTAGAGGACACTGACCCCTCCGGTTCGAACGGCACTTCATCTGGAGACTCCAGTGGAGGAGCAGGGGGCAATGCGGCTGTGGCCAAGGGGCTGAAGGGACTGAGGATGCTCAAGCTAGCCAAGTTTCTCACTCTGCTCAAGTTGCTGCGAATTACTCGACTCTTGAAATATGCTTCACAGTGGGAAGAGGTGGGTGATTTCACACACAACAAACAATTAAAATCAATGTCGCAGGCGGAAAAGTTCGCATTTTTTAGATTGTACTTCAGTTTTTAAAACTTCCCCAAGCCCCATAATCGAATCCTTTTAGCGAGCAAAACTCTGTTAATTAACTTTTTTGCAAGTTAAGCTTTTGATTTGGCGGTTGTCGGAACGTTCTGTGCCAATTGAGAGGAGAACAAAACAGGTACTTTTCTTTTCAATGAACTAGTAACTTGTACTAGTAATTTATTTCATCCAGATGGAATGGGATTTTTCCATGTCGTGATTTAGATAATTGTCGATGTACATTCGAAATCAGTTCCTGGATCTCGAAATATCTTAATACATTGTATTTACCAGGTATTTCAGATGTATGCGTTTTCTTTGTGGTGCAAAATCATCATTTGTCTCTTTGCGGTTTAGAAAACTTAGCAAATTTCGTTTGGTATAGTTTAGATTAGATCACCAGTTTTCTGTGAGCTCAGTTTCCGAACAAAACATTTCTTCAAAAAGTATTTTTGTTCAAACTTTCCCAATGCGCAGTATAGTTTGTTTACAAGCACATGTTCACACTTTACATCAGATAACTGCATAAATTTTGACCTTCCTTAAAATGATTGAAATCTTTTCATTGATATGGAATCTTCTTTGATCCCCAGCTGGTACGCGCGCAAAAGCCAAACAGTTCTGACCGAATATTTGAAAAGGGAAATAGCATTTTGTTTTTTTTTAAGTCATCAAACCAATGCCGTGTGGAAACTCAGAGCTTTAGCTCTTTATTTTTCAGATGATTGATTTTTAAACAAATCAACAAAACACAAGTTCTATTTTTTTATAGCAGCTCGATGAGCTTAATGCGGTGATCATGTCCGAAGTAACTGAAAAGTTTTTGGCTTAATAATATTGCCATTAACTAACGGCTATACTTATTAAGTCAAGTACTTTAAAGTTACGCTTATAAATTTCGATGAAAGAGATTGAATGGAAGAGCGCTGAATTTTGTGCCTGTTGATGCTAAGTTATAAACTGAAGATTTGGTTATTTAGGTGTTATTGGTGTGTTTTCTTTTTCTTTTTCAGGTGTTCAACCTGGCAAGTGTGGCGATGCGTGTGGTGAATGTGGTCGGCACTATGCTCCTGTTCGCCCACATCAACGGCTGCATCATGTTCCTCATCCCTCGCCTCTCCGACTTCCCACCCGGCAACTGGATCGACAACGACGGAATCAGGGTCAGTCAACACCTCTGGTGCATCATTCATTATACACCACATCAACGTATAGTTCGAGTAGTATATCATTGTTTTAACCGACCAGATGCATGATTTTCTAAGCTCGCTTTTATAATGCTTTAAGCTTTTAGAAATCAGAAAGAAATGATGCCCTCACAAACTCTGACAAATTATTTGTTATTATAAAAACCAGTGACAAACGAATTTTGACCGCTGAAGTGAACTCCAATAGACAATTAGCTGTTTTTGTCGCTGAGCTTTTCAATTGGAAATGAAATCCTATTGAATCCACTGAAAAATGCTGGAGCTCTGCGAGCTTCAACTGAGGTTGTTTAATTTGAAAAACCACCTGTTCAAAGAACGCAAAACTTGAATGGCCTAGCATTTGTTTCCACACTCTACCTTGTCTCTGGATTCTGGTTTTGATCGCTTGCCAGCGTTCGACTGGCGTATAAAAATTCGTTTTTCATTTCTATTTCATTTTGACGAATCTTGTGCAAATTTGATGGAATCCAGCGACAAAAATTCGATTATTTGAATTGTGCTGGTTCCAATTAAGCAGTAACTCACTTTTTAAAAAGTGAAAACCATGAATCTTCATCATAAAACTCATGGAAACTTAAAATAAGAAATCAATACTTTCCTTTTTTCAGTGACATCCTTCGATCTTATTACGCCGCAAATCTGCGGTTTTTTACACCCAAAAAAGGCCTTAGTCAGCTGGAATTTTATCAGAAGACAAGTAATTGAGCCTAATCTCCTCCTTTTTAGATAACTCGCTCATAACCCTTCAAGGTTTTTTCTTTCAAAAATTCAATTATCTCAATACTGTTGGATCCAAGTATGCGGTAACTCTTTTTAATCGAAAGAATTGACGAAAAAATCATCATCATAAACGTCACGCACCTTAAAATCAGAAAACAATATATCCCAAACCATTATCAAGGTACCCGAAATTGGTTTTAAAGAGTACCGTGTGGGATGGGAGCAAGAAAAAAAAATTGCAAAAGGTTTCACTATACCAAAAAAAATTTCCCACACTCGTTGTAAAGAAAAAAACTATTTATTCACCTACTTAGATAATAATATTCGGATCTATAGTCAGCCTTTTTTCAATTGGCCATGATTTGTCTTTGCCTATTTTGTTTTGAAGGTGTAATTGCCCACTCATCGTGCCGCTTTACTGACGTTATCTTGGAAATTACCAGAAAACTGTTGCTATCAGACCTATTTTAGTGCCTCCTGCGAACAATTTTTGTTATACTAAGGGGCTTGGAGTTTCGCAAAGTAACAACCTTGGGATAATAAATAAGCGCAAGTTGGAATAATAACTAAAGTCCACTCTGGTATCTTCGTGTTTATCATACGCGGAAAACTAATTCGACCCATACAACATCCCATATTGAATTTTGAAAGCTCACCACATTTTTCAAAATCAAAAACTATGAAGAACAGTGTTTCATTCGAAGTAAAATTTATTCATTTGAAATTTTTTTTGCAGCTGAAAAATATTCAAAAGGGAGAATAGTTTTTGCTTAATTGTAAGAATTTTTTTTCAAAAATTTGATCAATATGTTTGATCGAAAAATACTTTGATACCTTAAAGTTCAATTCAATCACTCAGAGTTTAAACTTTGTAAGGAAATGTGTGGGGCTTTTAATTTGTCATTGGGTTTTGTGCTATTATGTAAAATTAAAACATTTTCTTCACAATCTTGATAGGGCAGAGTCTAAAGATAAATTTCAAGCAAAGTTTTCTCTTTCTCCAAAATTGTGAAAAAAAAGTTACCAAGATGCGTAACCGACTGTTGCATGGACTCACTACCGACACCTCAGTCAGATGAAAAACTGATAATAAAAGCAGCATAATTGTCATCCGGCCGGATTGGCATTAACCAGTTGATGTACATATTTAAGTATTTATATTTAAATTATTGTACTGCTGGTCAACTGGCCTTAAACAACACGGCCAGTTCATAAACATAGAGCATAGACCGCTCAGAGCACAATGATTAAGAGAATATATTTTATATATCTTTCTATTCTCTCCTAAGTTACCAAGTTAGTTGCCAATCCGTACGGATTCAATAGTTACCCAAACAACGATAAATGACAATAATTTAAATTTTCTCGACATTGGCCAAAGGCATCAGCAGGACCACCACTCGAGTGGTCCAAACAAGCAGCACTGACTAATATGGCCGTCCTGGCCAAAGACGTAACCTACTCCGAACAAAACTAACAGTCATCGAATAACTAACAGTCAATAGAACTAATATACGAACTTGAAACAATAGGCGAAACAGAAGCAGAAAAACGGAAAAGGGACATACGCAACAGGAGAAAAAGGTCACTTGGGAAAACAATACAGCAGAAGTCAGAGAGAGAGAGAGAGAGAGAGAGAGAGAGAGAGGGAGGAGCACTATGCAACATTTTTCCATGGGATGAAGCAGATGCCTAAGAGAGGAGCTATATATTTTTTGTTTAGGAGTAAAAGGCCAACGTCAACTAAAACAAAAATGCCCGGGACTCGATATACAGTCCATAAACTCAAAAGATTTGTTAAAAATACTCGAAGACATATTCCTTACGACCGACAAGAATTACAGCTTTCGAAAGATATAAAGATATAACTTCATCTGGCGTAAGCAGCTAAAAAAAAACGAATCAAAAAAAATATTCCCGGTGGATCTAGTAAAAATAGTACCACAATTATGTAGAAATAGTATCACAAGAACACCTCAAGACGCATACGAGTATGCGATTCGGAAAAAAAGGAATAAAACTTAGCAAAACAATGGAAACAAATCATTCGGATCATCAACAATTTCTTCTACAATCAAACAGGAACCTATGGGATACATAGATCCACTTGCAACAGGAGTATAAAATGGGTACAAAAACAACCAAAGAGGTCGGGGTTTCCGCAGAGGCCGATAAAAATTCCCATGTAGAAGTACCAATACAGGAGGAATACAAAACAAACAACGAAGCCAAAACAAAACATGCTGTAAACATGGCAGACAATTTGGTCCCAATCATCAATTTGGTCTACAATCGTGCCCTGCAAAAGACAAGATTTTCATCAAATCTGCAAAAAGAAGACACTACGCAAAAGTATGCAGATCGACAAACGTAAACTAAATGAGAGAGTCAAATAGAAGCCAACGAGAGGAAGACGAAGAAAAAGAAGCAACCGAGGAAGACAAAAACGACCCCGTAACTTACGCAGAATTCACTTCAAAAAACGGATGGGAAGAAATACCACGCAATGAATGTACTGTATTGGCCACTTCAGAAGCGTTCCAAATAAAAAAATCTATATATTTACGCGAAGAGGATTTAAACGACCACAAAGTAAAACTGAAAACAATAACAGAAAACATATTCGCAATCGCAGATTCAGGAAGCCCATTCTGTTTTTTGAATGAAAAACAGTAAAAAGACTACAAATTAATGACAGTTCGGCACGATTTAAATATATCCCACCGGAAGATGCAACCAAAAAATTGGCATGCCACAACGAAGAATACATCATGCCGAAAAGACGGCTAATCCTTGCGGTAGAATCAAAAAGGTGGACCATACAGTCCGCACCATTCCTAAATGACCAAAAAGTAAACATAATCGGACAAAACACTCAAGCAAAAACTGCCATTACCTTATTTCGAGAAAACCGAAAATTCAACACGCAGGAAATAGAAAAATCAGACAAAGAAATCAAACAATGAGTCAAAGAGAACATCCAACAGCTATGTGCAAGAATTTAAAAATCAAAAAACCATGTAGTGAAAACGCAATCAATCAAAGGTGTTAAAGATAAAAAATCCACGTAGTGAAAACGCAATCCATCAAAGAGTACCAATTCACCTACAAAAACGCGTGGATGAAAAATTGAACAACTGATAGACTATAAATACATCCTCACACTCGACAAATAATCGCAACAGCAACTTAGTGGTTCGATCGTAATATTGCTGAAAAAAGCCTTGGATTCAAAAAATATTTTGAAAATTTATTCACAAAAACAAATATCAATCAGTCAAAAAGAAAACGCTGCAGAAATCATAAGGAGGAAAAGAAACTTCCCTCACTGTTTTTAACACTCGACATTTGATATGCACTTTCACGAATCCCTCTGGATTCCGATACGAAAAAAACGATGATAATTCAGACTCATTGGAGGCAATGCTACTGAAACATACCAACTCCAAAAAGACATACCAGCCGAATTCCAAAAAGCAATAGACCTTACTTTGACAAACTGCAAAAAAAAACATTCGCATATTTAAGCTACATACTCAGTGCAACAAAAAGATCCAGAGACACACAAAAAAAGCAGCTACATGAAGTTTTAACAAAAATAAATGACGGAAATTTAGCAATATCAATCAAAAAATGGCTCGACTATCACATCAATAGCGTAGGCACCGAGCCACTAAACCGGAAAACAGATGCAATACAAAAACTTAAACCACCAAAAATTTTCAAACATTCAAAAAAATTCCTGGGTCGAATCATAAAACCTCATTCAATCGATACTACAACGTGTTTCTGGGTTAAGTAAATATAAACATTCAAAATAAGAAACCAGCGTGGTATTGCGACGCATCTACATCCAGGCAAGGGGCCACCCTCGAACAATTTACTGTTGAAGATTGAGTTGCATTAGCATACACTTCCAGATTTTTAAAATCACTAGAAGAAAAATACTCCGTAAGCAAACTAGAGTTGTTGAGGTTGTATCAGCAAAAAAAAAACAGTTCAGTTTTTTTATACGGGAAAAACTTTATCGTCATCACAGATCACCAAGCTTTAGTCAACGCATTTGACGCCAGCAAAAGATCAAAACCAGCCAACTAGATGAATTGATCGTTTGACCCCATTTAACTCTCACATAAACTTCTTGGCGGGAAAAAAGATTAGCAGACTACATACCCAGAAATCCGGTAGGATTATCTTTACCCCCCAGTGAGTATGATGAGGAATTTATAGAAGCG